GCTCCTTGGAGGCAAGGATTCTGAGGCTGTGTCTAACATACTTTGGACATGTTGTGAGGAGAGACCAGTCCTTGGTGAAGGACATCATGCTTGGGAGGGTGGGAGGATAGCACAGGAGGGGAAGGCCCTCTATGAGGTGGATTGATTCAGTGACTGGGGTAATCAGGATGGGAGTGCCAGAGACAGTGCGATTGGCACAGGACAGAGCAGAGTTTAGGGCTGTTGTACATAGGGTCGCTATGAGTCGCAAGCAACTCGATGGCACATAACAACAACAAGAACAACATCCTTAGTCATTGACCAACTCTCTGATGCATAGCAAGTAATCATGAATACCATGGACTGGTTCAGATGCATCTTAGTCTCTAGACTGACATTGTTGCTTCTCAGTACTCTGCTTAGTCTTTTGATTTCCTTACTGCTCATACCAAGAGTACTGACTGTGGGGCCGGGCAAGCTGTAATTGTTAACAACCTCAATCTCCTCTCCATCCATCATGGCGCTGCCAATTGGCCCAGTGCTGAGAATCTTTGTCCTATTGATGTTGAGCTTCAATCCATATTGAAGACTACAGTCCTTGACTTTCTGCACTTCAGGTCCTCAGTTTCAGCAAGCAAGGTCGTGTCACCTGGATAAGGTAGGTTGTTGCTGATGAGTCTTTCTCCAAACAGAGAATGTCAATTCCAGATGATTGCAACCCTCTGGGGACAGGGGACAAAGCTACAAAGCAGGGACAGACCCTTCAAGAATAACAGCAAGACCTGAGGAGAGGCAGTGCAGGTCAGAGTGGAAGCTCCAGTTCCAGGAAGGACTGGGTAGCCTGAGGAATTGACCTGTATGTAGTTGTTGATTGTTGCCTCAGTGTGGTCCAGTCTGTGAGCCACTGAAAATTAATGTTTGTTGTTATATGGTGTCAAGTCTGAACCAACCCACAGCTGGCTCTTTAGTAGATTTTCAGAGGCTGTAAATTATACAGTAGACCAAACATCTTTGCCTTTCCTTGGAATAGCAGGTGGATTCGAATGATGTGCCTCCTCTGGGGTTTGTAGTGCAACTCCTTACCCACCAGGCTCCCAGAGCTTCCTGAAAATGGCTGAGCATGTCCTAAAGTCTTGAGCACCAACCACAGGCCTAAGCTAAGCTTGTGGGTGAGGCTTCAAAGGTCAGGACCTCTGCTGCCTCCCTGGCATGCAGATATTGGTTGACGTGTAGTTGCAGGCAGCAGTAGGATGCAGCTCCACTTCTGCAGCTTCCCCACAGTCAGAGGGACAGGTCCACATCACCCTTGGGCTCAGAGTTCCCATTAGCCACTTCAGGGGCTGCCTCACCTGAGGTCTCAGTCTGTGTGTTCTTGCATCCCAAATATTCTGCCACTATTGTTTTAAATGAAGTTTCATTTGAGGAATTAAAATTTAGGAGCAGTGAACTGCACAGGCCTAGGTTTTTTTTTAATATTAATTTTAATGAACATTAACAGAGATTTTGGATTTCCATTCATTCATTGTTGCACTTTTCTCCCTGTCCAGCCCTCCTCCCACCCAGTTCCTCTCTGTGAAAAGCAAAAGAAAAATTATTTCATTGGTATACAATCCTCCCCCTGCCCCGAGTACACTCCACTATGCAACCTTAATTCTGGACACTTGTGATAAACATATTACCCTATCATATATTGCTTTTAAATAGTTCTCTCCCTCATCTGTTTCTTTTTTTTTCTATAATTATATTTTATTAATTTTCATAAACATTTACAGAGATTTTGGGTTTCCATTCATTCATTGTTGCACTATTCTCTCTACCCTCCTCCCAGTTTGTTCTTGTCCAAATGCCACAGTGCTTGTCAAAGCCAGTTCTGATTAATCTTCTTTGTCAGTGTGTCCTTTGCCATTCCCTATCACTCCTCCCCGAGAGAGACTTCACCCTGAGTCATAAGGAAAAGGGGATGGCGTATTCTCTTAGCTACTTCCTGCTGAAAAGGGACGCTGTGGGTTTCAGGGTGAGGATCTTCTCTCACTACTCTAAAGGACCCCTTTGGCAGTAGGAAACACATAGACTATTATGGAGATTGATTTTGGAATTTAGATGCACTCTTATTGATTGTGCTTGGCTGTACATGTTCATATCCTTGAAGATGTATCATGGGGGTGTTGCAACCTAGAAGACACAAATTTGACTAACAAGTTATAAGTACATGAGTCAAAAATTATGGAAAAGTAAAAGAAAAGATTCTTTCATTGTTTTACAAACCCTCCCCCAGGTCCCCTCCATCATGTAGCCCTCGCTCTAGTCTCCTGTGATGACAGAAATACCTAGTTATTTATCTCTTTTAAACAGTTTTCTCCCTCCTCTGTTTCAGTGCAGTATACATTATTGAACCCATCTTACTCAGTCTCTCCCCAACCCCAAGGACAGTCCCATTCTACAACAGTGGCATCATGTAATATTTGTCCTTTTGTGACTGGGATATTTCACTCAGCATAATGTTCTCCAGAGTCAACCATTTTGAATAATATTGCATGAGTTCCTTGTTATTTAATGCAGCATAGTATTCCATTGTGCGAATATACCACAGCTTCTCTAGCCATTCGTTTGTTGATGGGCACTTAGGTTGTTTCCAACTCCTTGCTATTGTGAACAAAGCTGCAATACATCTGTTTCAATGTAGTATACATAATTTATCCAGTTTTTCTCAGTCTTACCCCAACCTTGGTGTCAGTCCCATTCTACAACAGTGGCACCATGCAGTATTTGTCCTTTTGTGACTGAGATACTTCACTCAGCATAATGTCCTCCAGGATCACCCATTTTGAATAATATTGCATCAGTCCCTTGTTTTTCAATGGATCATAGTATTCCATTGTGTGAATATACCACAGCTTCTCTAGCCATTCGATTGTTGATGGGCACTTAGGTTGTTTCCAACTCCCTGCTATTGTGAACAAAGCCACAATAAACATGGGTGTGCTTGGATGTCAGGTTTGGTCTCTTTAGGGTATATTCCCAGTAGTAGAATTGCTGGGTAAATGGTATCTCTATTTGGAACTTTTTGAGAAATCACCATACTGCCTTCCACAGTGGTTGCACCATTCTACACTCCCACCAACAGTGAATAAGGGTTCCTGTCTCTCCACAACCTCGCCAGCATTTGATGTTTGCTGTTCTGTGAAATTTTACTATTCTGACTGGGTGAGATGATATCTCATAGTTGTTCTGGTTTGCATCTCTCTTAGAGCTAGGGATTTTGAACATTTCTTCATGTGCTTGTTGGCCATCTGAATGTCTTTGGTGAAGTGTCTGCTCATATCCTGTGCCCATTTTTCAATTGGATTATTTACCTTTATCTTGTTGTGGTGCTCAAGTATTTATTATTTTTTTTTCTTCTATAATTATATTTTATTAATTTTCATAAACTAGGTTTTCAACTCCATTCACACTTGACTCCATTGATTCTGACTCATAGCAACGCCATTAGGATTCCAAAACTGGAAATCTCAATGCCCATCTTTCTCCCACAGCGTTGCTAGTGGAGTCCAACCACTGGAGACATGCACCCCTTTGGTTAGCAGTGTAACATGCTCCTTAGGGCTTTACAGAAACGAAGGATCCAGAGCGGAGGCTTCAAGGGGCCTGCAGTATGGACTGCTGCCAGGCAGGCAGGCACTAGGAGGTCCTCCTGGGTGCACAGCCAGGTACGCTGCCACCAAGTGTGGGAAACCTGAGAAATGTTGCAGACACGGCTCCTGCACTTAGATTATGATTGTTCCCCTGAAGCGCCCCAAGGGGATTCTGTGGGGCTCACAAGCCCATTGGGCCTTCTTTGCTCCTATTGAGGTCTTAAACTATGGGCCCCACTGGTGGGCCTTCTTTGCTCCTATTGAGGTCTTAAACTATGGGCCCCACTGGACTGAATCCTGGAGCCTGTGATGTGTGACCTTCACCCACCTTCAGAGAATGACAGAATTCCTTCACCCCACTTTCCAAATCCCATGCAATTTCTCTCTCAGTCAACAATAAGCTAAACCACACTGTAACTGAGCACCTTAGCTAAGAGACCACCCTCCACTGTTCTCTCTGAACACTGGTTAAAAAAGCAATGGCCTTCCTTCTTGCAGGTTAAGGTGTGGGCTTCCTTCCCTTTTTTGGGGGTGGGGGGAATTCCAGCACTGGCCATCTGCCTAACCACTGGCTCTGAATGACGCTTCCTACTCACAGCATCCTCATCTGGAGGAGTAATTAGGTATTAATTATTACAGGTATTAATATTAACTGCTTAAACAAAGTCAATTGTTTACTGTGCTAAAGCTCAGGGTGTTAGGTACCTACATGAATTGCTGAAAACAATTCAGGAACTCCACAACTATGTGCCACCATCCAAAGAAAGAAATAAAGATTTGAAAAGGGAGTAAATATTACATACTCCTACAAATGGTTTATTCAAAGATGATTTGGTAATCAAAGAACAAACCACAACAAATAGGAATAAAATGAGAACAAATAGTGATAAGTTAATGATAAAAAAGTTTTACAAAAGTTTGATTTTCATGTTCCATTGAGAATCACCTGCAAGATCTATTTTAAGGAAAAAGGAAAAAGATGCAGGAAAGTGTTGATCTGCCACTATTTTTGCTAAAAGGGGAGAGTCTTTATTGCATTTGTATGCACCTTCTATATGCATGCACGTATGTGCTTCTGTCCTGTATTCTCTATAGAGAGACACAGATGTCTTGGTATCACTGGTGGCCTAGGAGCTGAGGAATGAGGTGGGATAAGAGGGAGACTTGCACTGTATAATAGTTATTTTTGCTTTGAATAATACATAATTATTATGTCAAAATAGAAATTAAAACTTAAACAACATCCTGAGAAAACAAAAAAGCATATATATATAAAAATCACATGAGTATGAGTTTCTCTTAACCACAATTTCCAAACATCAAAAACATGTTTTAGAAAGAACTAAGGAAAGTCAGGGTTGGCTGGTTTCTTAGAGGGCGCCCTCGGGTCTAGCAGTTGTCCAGGCTGATGCTCCTGGGACGGCTGAGCTTCTCCGGGAGGCCATGGCCAAGCTTAGCAGCAAAGAGTGAGGTGACGAGGTCCTCCCCCATCTCCAGAGCCAGGTCATACGCTGTCTGGCCTCTCGTGTTCATCTTTTGAGTGCTTGCATTGCATCTGTGAAGGAAATGGACACAAGCTGAAATGCTTGGGGACTTGCACCTGGGGGCCTCATCCTTCCCTGTCACAGAGGCCAATCTGGGCACTTCCTGGGTCCAGACCCCAAACCTGTCCTCAGGAGGCCCCCATGACCTCAACTTTCAGGGAGTTTTCTATTCCAAGACTTTTTGAGGACTGTGGTTTAAACCTTTTCCTTTGCATTAAAGTTCCTAATGAAATGTGTGTGGTGAGAAAACACTGTGCTTTTGAAAGCCCTTAGTGTCACAGGAGTTGTGCCGAGATGGTCACTTGTGTCACAGGAATTGATCAGTGCTCACTGTGGCCATCAAACATATCCCAGAAAGGCCAGGGAACATACCCCAGTAGCGCAGCAACGCACTTCCTTCCTTCCAGGCCAAGCAGCGTTGCTTCATGAAGGGCTGTATTTCTGAGCCTGTTTGGAGGAAAGAAAAATCATTCTTGGCTAAATTCTTGGTTAGAGTCCTTGGGAAACTGGAGAGAGAAGAATATGGAATCAAAAGCCCTTGGTTTTAACCCCTGATCTATTGACCTAGCCAGGAAAGTTTCTGCATTCACTTCCTTAGGCCCCTTAGGCCCCTTTCCTTAGAAAAATAGTGATGGTAGGTAAGCTCTGGCACTAGTTAGAAAGTAATTTATGAACATTATTTTTTAATGTGAGAAGACCTACAGGATTTGGTTTGTAGTTGATTTAATAAATATTATAATTTTAGTAATGTCCTAGAAAAATATATAACATAGTGAGTCCAATCCAAACTTTGGTACAGACCTCTCTTGGGCACTGGCTTTTCTGGGGCTAAAGTGTCTATTTCTTTATAGTGGAAAGGACCTTGCTTTGGAAAAGTTTGATTTCTATGCTATGAAAATAAGCCAGAGAGGCCAACCAGACATAGTAGGTCATTTTGCTACTTTGTATGGTCAAGATTTAACCTTGAAGAGTGGAAGGCTGAAACACAGGATGGTGAGCAGTGGCATTCTAGAACGCTTGGAAGTCCCCTGATCCTGAGGTGGCAGAGGGTTGGAAGGCTATCTCACAACTTGATATAGTAATATATACATTTATAACTGTTGTGGTTGTGTACCCTCGAGTCAGAACTGACTCACAGGTGACCCTTCAGCAGGTCCACAGAGGCTGTAAATTGCTCCGGATGAGATGGCCTATCTTTTTCCTGTGGAGCAGATGGTGGATGATTTAAAAAAAAAAAAGAGAGAATATATATTCACATACCCATGTTCATTGCTGCATTGTTCACAACAGCAAAGAGAGGGAAGCAACCCAAGTGCCCATAAACAAATGAATGGTTAGAGAAGCTGTCCACATAATGGAACACTATGCAGCATTGAAAAACAAGGAACTTATAAAATATTATACTAAGTGGGTGACCCTTGAGGACATTATAATGAATGAAATATCTCAGTTACAAAATGACAAATACTGTATAATACCACTGTTATAAAACAGGACTGACATGAGCTGGGGGGAAACTAAGAAAGGAGGGGATAAATAATGAACACTTCATTGAAACGGATGAGAGAAACAACTGTCTAAAAGAAATATATGATTAGGTATTATCTGCATGACAAGAATAAGTCTAGAATAAGAGTTGCATACACAGTGGACTAGAGGGTGGGGAAGGGAGGAAATTGTGCAACAAGAAAGAATCTTTTTAAAGAGAAAAGCAAATGGGGTAGGGGTAGGGAGAAAATGTGCAACAATGAATTAATGCAAATCCAAGTTTTCTGTAAACTTTCATTAAAATACAATAAAAAATAAAGTCACAGTAATAATAAAAAAGAATATATATTGTCACAACCAGACATAGAAATAAGAACAGAAGGACTACCTTCCTAGCCTCTAAGTCTCTGAGCTTTCCAGTGACACATCCACCTCACTCACCTTTTTCCTATACCTGCAGAAGTACGTGCAGCCAGAAATTTACTGAAAAGAGAAAAAATATGATTGTCTCCTCTATGAGGAAGATAAATGGACTCTTTAATGAGAATCAGGCCAGAAACTGCCATGACGAGAAGGAAGCCTTCTACTTTCTGGTTTCCAGCCTGGGAAAACACTATTCAACCACAGAAGTTCAACTCAGACACACAAAGTCCTTCCAGCTCATTCTCAATTCTCAAATATGAATGGATGGACAACAAAAATTACATAGATGTGTGAAAAACCTACATCAGCAAAGAGAAAAATGAAGATACACAAACGAAACAAAAGAAAGATAAATTTGGCATCCTCAAGAATGATTTGGAGCTCTGGTGGCCTAGTGGCAAGAAGCTGCACTGCTTCCCAGAGGTGCGTGCTTCGAATCCACCAGACGCTGGAGGACGGACAGTCTCCTCCTCTACTAGTCAGATCTGATTTGACGGCACACACACACACACACACACACACATACACACAAAATAATAATAAAATAAAAAAAAGAATGATTCAAGACAATATTGTACAAATACATGAAGTTAACTGAGAGCTCTGAGTGGCCTTCTGGATGGGGTTGAGCTGCCACTCAAAGGCAAACAGAATCCACCAGCTGCTCCATGGGAGATGACAGTTAATCTTCTCCCATATAATCTACAGCCTCTGGAAACCCACTAGAGGGTCAGGTTTGCATCAGTTTTGACTCAATGGCACGTACTAACAACAACATGAGGCAATGAATGAGAAACCAGCAGAACAAGAAATAGCACATCCAAGGTAAAAACTATGATTGTTCAAGTACAATTTACTCATTATGTGGGATGGACAAAACAGTTGAGGAAATCTCTTAAAATAGAGACAAAATAAGAGATAAAAAAAGAAAAAGAGATAGGGATCAATTCAGGGGCTTACCTAATAGGAGCTCCAGAGAGAGAAAGTACAGAAAAATTGAAGGAGAGAAAACCCAAAAGGATAATAGATTTCCTCTGAGCTGAAGACTTTTCAGACTGAAACAGGTACATGAAAATGCCATATTGAAAAATAGCCTTGTGAATTTTTAGAATGTCAAAAACAAATACTTACAGAGAAAGACATCATATTTGGAAAGGTGGAGGGATAGTGCAGAAGAGGAAGACCCAGGATGAGATGGATTGATTCAGTGACTGCAGAAATGGGATTAGGTCTTTCAGAGATGATGAGATTGATTGGCTCAGGATAGGGCAAAATTCAGAGCTAATGTACACAGGGTCGCTATGAGTCACAGGTGACTCATGACACATAACAACAACAACAACCACCACCAAACAAAAGGTCACAAAGGAGAAAAAAAATTGCCAGAGTAATCTCTTGCCCTATTCTAGGACCCTTTCTTGGAGGGTGGGATGGGAACAACTATGGATCTCCTCCAGTCATTTGGCCAGGTCTTCCCCACTTCTTGGCACATATAAGTGAGCATGTCCAGGGCTGCATCTGTTTGCTGAAACAACGCAATAGGTATTCCATCAATTCCTGAGGCTTTAATTTTTTGGCAATGTTTTCAGTGTAGCTTGAGTTTCTTTCTTCATTACCACTGGATCTTGATCATATGCTAATTCCTGAAATTGTTCAGTGTCAAACAATTCTTTTTGGTACAGTGACTTAGTGTATTCCTCCCATCTCCTTTTGATGCTACCTGCATCACTCACGATTTTACCAAGGGAATCCTTAAGTATTGAAACGCGAGGTTTGAATTTTTCAGTTTTATAGACTTGAGAAATACTGATCATGTTCTTCTCATTTTCTCCACACTCCAGTTCTTTGCACATTTCATTATAATACTTTGCTTTGTCTTCTTGAGCTTCCCTTTAAAATCTTTTGGTCACCCTTTCACTTCAGTATTTCTTCCCTTTGTTCTGGCCTCTATGTTGCAGTGCAATGTTCAGAGTCACTTCTAACATCTATTTTGGTCTTGTTTCTCATCTGTCATTGAAATGACCTTGTGCTTTCTTCATAGATGATATCTTTGAAGTCACCCCACAACTAATCTGGTCTTTGATTATGGTTATTGTTGTTATTATGTGCTGTCACCTGCTACTCATAGTGACTCTGTACAATAGCTCTGAACTCTGTCCTATTCTGAGCCAATCTCACTGTCTCTGACATACCTACCCCCATTATTCCAGTCGCTGAGTCAATCCATTGCATCCAGAGTCTTCCTTTTTTGCATTGTCTATCCACTCTTCCAAGCCTTAAGTCCTTCTCCAAGGATTGGTCCCTCCTGGCCATGTGCCCAAAGTATGTGGGATGATGCTTCAAAATCCTTGCCATCAAGGAGCAGGCTGGTATTACACTCTCCAGGACAGATCTGTTCTTGGCAGTCCACAGTATGTTCAATACTCTTCCTCCAGCACCACAACCTAACGGCATCATTTCCCCCCCCCCATCAACGTTATTCATGGTCCAGCCCTCCAATGCATAGCAAGTAACTGCAAAGACCATAGCTTGGATCAGGTGTACCTTAGTCTTTAGACTGACATTGCTGCTCCTCAGTACTCTGGAGAGGTCCCTGACAGCAGATTTTCCCAATGCAATTTGTCTTTTTATTTCCTGGCTGCTGGAACCAAGAGTGTTGATTGTGGAGCTGAGCAAGCTGAAGCTATTAACAATCTCAATTTTCTAACTATCATGATGGTGAGAATGTTTGTTTTGATGTTGAGCTTCAATCCACATTGAATGCTGCAGTCCTTGACCTTCTGCAGCAAAAGCTTCAGGTTTCCTCAGTTTCAGCAAAGCCTGGTTGTGCCATTTGCATAATGCAGGCTGTTGATGACTTCAATCCTGATGTCACATTCTTCCTCACAGAGTCCAGCTTCCCGAACGATCCATTCCACACATAGATTGAAAAGGTATGGATTGAAAAGGATGCATCTCTTATGTACACATTTTCTGGCTTTGAACCATGCAGTGTTTCCTTGCTGTTTTGATGACTGCTTCCCTGTCCAAGTATAGGTTCTGAATAAGCATAATTAAGTGTTCTGGGATTCTTACTCTTCTCAAAGTTAGCCACAATTTTTTGTGATCCACAGTCAAATGCCTTTGCATAGTAAATGAAACACAGATAGACATTCCTCTGGTTCTCTCTGCTTTGACTTTCATGTCCCCACTGCCATCGCCTCTTCTAAACCCCGCTTGCACACTTGGCAGTTCTTTGTGTTCAGTACGTCAAACCTATTCTTGAGATGGTTTTAAAATTCAGGTGGGATAGATGCTAGGTCGTATTTCTTGTGACTTTATTTGCATTTTCTTCAACTTCAATTTGAATTTGCACATGAGTAATTGATGATCTGATCTATAATCAGCCTCTGGCCCTGTTTGAGTTCCTCCCCCCTTAAATTAGCTTATTCTGCCTACTGAGTATTGAATTTTTTTTAAATTGTATTGGCTGCTTTTAAAGCTTGTATACATTATGTTTCACATGATCTTTCCCATTTCTTTACTCTCTTCCTCCA